ATGACAAAGACCTGATGGCTTACAAAACTATCAATAGCACTCAGTCTCCAACATGACAGTGGCATGTATCCCCACTCAGCTTAACTTCAACCAGGTAAATCCATTTCTTCTCTCAGCTGAATAATGCAATGTTCACTAAAGATGCACATCTTCATGAAGAACGTAGTTTTTTGGAAAACCTCAAATATAAGCATAGCAGAATTATAAAAACCTAATGGCAATTTTCTGAAGTTGCTCAAACTTCTATGTGAACACACAGAAAAATTCTGATGACTAAATACCTGCCATTGAAGAAGAGAAGCTGTTTTTTCAATCATGGGCTGAATATTCACCAAAAGAAACCTCTGAAGGAAACTAGGCCCTAGAGAAGGCAGCAGCTGAACTTATACTTTACGGTGGCAACCAAACACTCAAAGAGGGAAGAAGAGATAAGACAAAGCTTCTGCACAGAAATATTTGTGCTACAGTGCATTGAATTCGAGTAATTAAAAGTCATGGTCTCGGAAAAAAAAGATGAAAATTATGTTTGAGATTTCTTTCACCTCTACTACAGCATAACATACTTCAAGTTAGACTGAATGTGTGGATTCTGTTATGTGGAAAAAACACCAGCTCCCATTTTCTATACCCACTATGCCTTTCTCTGTACCTTCATCTTTGCAAGTGACCTGCAAACATGTAGCTTTGTCATTTATTTTATGACAGCAGCCAGGAACTGTCCAGTAACATTTGGCCCTTTATTTTCAGCAGTTTACTTACTGCTCACAGATCAAAATTATTAACTATCTCCTTTCTAGGCTTCCATTACAAAATGTCTCTGCTGAATCAGAGAGACTTGAGATCACTTGTAAGTGATCAGATAAAGCATTACAGAACTTTACTACTAATTTTTTGTTGCTTTCCAGATCCAACAGACAGATTTTCTTCTACATATTGTCATCCTAGACACTTCAACAAAGTGCCACTAGTAGTAATGATAATGATAATGATAATGATGTTCTGTTATTTACATCTGTGTTCACTGTCAGAAACAAAAACCGTATGCTAAAAATAGAAACATATAGAAACCAGAATACAGCCATAGGAAGGCCAGTGCAACTTGTATTTTCAACAGATTCTAGCAGGTTACATTGCTTGAAGCATCACTGCCTATACTACCAAAGTCTGCATTTTACTAAGCTATTGAATGTAAGACTTGCATAGTGAGAATCTTTGGTGTGACTTGTATTTTTTATATGTTAGCTAATCGGAGGTAAAAGAAGAAAATTTTTTTGTTGAAGATGGACTCCAAGGGATTAGCTGCACTTCATTCAAATATCTATGGCATAGCCCATCTACTTTGCTATTCTTCTACAAAAATTCTGTAAAATTAAACTAGAGAAGTGCATGAAGAGGTAAAACAGGACAATTCTTCACTTGGAATTAATGACAAGTACATGTACTTCTTCAGGTTCAGACAAGATATGTTGTTTAACCTTTCAAAGCTTATCTTTTCCTGGAAGAATGTACACATGGTGAAACCTGTGGGCAGAATGTAGGTCAGCCTAAAAATATTTGAGCTCTGTGCATGCTTCTACACTGCATAATAAAAATGAGAGATGCTAGTTTTGAAACCATCCTTGAGATGTAAGACTCTATGGTAGAAAAAAGAGATGGTACTTCAATGTGCAAATATACAAAGGTTAATGTTTGGGCTTGGGGCTTTCAGTAAGAAATATGTCTAGTACTAGAACCGAGCAAGAGGTGCAACTCAGCACTCTGAAGGGTTAAAGTGAACTTTAGTCTTCCACCAATCACCATTTGGTACTGTATCTTCATAAATTTCCCCCGTTTATGGAGTGTTTTTGATGGCAGGCAATTCTTTGTTGAAAGTTAAGTGCTCTTTTATATGAATAAATAAAGAAGGCATTGGTTTGAATGAATACATTATTTTGACAAATGTTTATTGGAAACCCAATTATGGCTTCATAAATCAGTGCTATCTGTGGTACATCAGGTGAGCTCACCCATGCCATCAAATGGCACGTTGAATATTAGTAAGATAATTAAAACAATTCCGTTGAATGTTGTTCTTCTTACCCAGGTCTGACAGTAGTCAAAACAGGAAGAAATTGTTTATTAATTTTATTTCACTTATTAAAATACTTCTTGTAAGATGTAATGGGCATACTTAACACAAAAAAAAGGGAGAAAAAAACCCATTTGTTTTCAATTTGCAGTTAGATTAAAATGACAAGGTCAAGCACAACGCATGAACTGAGTGGCAGCTGAATTTTAAGAGTAGTCAGAAACAGAAAGGATATGTATGAAGTCTACTGTTTAAACTTTACACCCAGGTGAAGTGGGGCTTTTTTTGTTTTGTCTGAAGTGGTCACTGGTGATATGAAATGTGTCTGGAGTCAATTCATGTGCTTCCTTGTCCACTCCACCACAGTGATTCTGAGTTAGAATGACCAAATGAATAAGAAGCCATTTTCATATCTGTGAAAATGAAGGGAATCAAGTGAAAAGCTTGAACTCAAGGTCAACAAGAGAGGGAGGACTTTACAGTTGAAACATTTTTATTCTCATAATATTCCCCTGTAGATAAAAATCTACAGGGTACAAGCTACCAGGAATTCCCATCTCTTGAGGCCCTATGACTGACAGCAAAATGGAGACATATCGGTGGCAGGACACTGAAGGTCTCTTTAAGCTTTATTGAAACAATATACATGATTTCCCCAAGGATCATTTCGCTGTTTTAGGATACGGCTATATCCACAAGGATTTACAAGCATAAAGTACGGATTGAAACTGAAGTAATTGGGTTTGGTGTATATTTGAATTAGAGTGATATAAACAGCCACCTAGGTATCTTTCTTACCAACTCAACTTCAGCATAATATTCCTCTTAGTGGCACAGAAGAGGGGGCGAGGAGACATAAGAACAGAAGGCAGCATAATATTCAGCTTTTCTCTCATGAAAGAAAGTGAGTGTTAGGAGTTGGCCAGAGAGATGGCAATGAAATACTTTTATTTGGAATTTCTCAGTACATTGAAAGGAGAAAAAAAAGTCAGCAGGACAAATTCTTTTGTTTCACCAGAAACTAACCTTCCTCCAGAGCAACTCGGGCTCCAGATTTCTGTCAGCAGGCAGACAACCTGGAGGCCCCAGGGTTGAAACGCCCACACTAGGACTTCTCAGGATCCCATATTTCCCCAGAGATCTGCTTCTCAGATAATGTATAAAGTTTGAGATGGTCTTCAAAATAATGGGTAGACAAAAAGTTGTCATTTTCTTCAAGACACAGATAATATTCTCCATTTTCCATTCCTTACTCTAGTTGCTTCTCAGGATTTTAGATAAACAAACAAGTGTGGGAAGCAATATAGGGATGGATCATCTTCACTATTTAGGATCCTATTTTTTTCATAGCAAAATAAAAGTATATTCAGCCTAAAACCAGGCTAGCATTTTGCTGCCAAGGACACCATCACTGGTAGTAAATACTCTGCAATAAAGGAGACAGAATTTAGGGTAATCATGGTGCATGAGGTAGGGTGGAGCCTTGGGCTTTTTCCTCTTACCTAAGAAGGAATGTTCCAGGGCAAAAAAATCTGGAAATCTCTTTTCCAGAGTAGAGAGAAGTGAAGATACTCTTTTATATATTAATTTTAAAAAAACTATTGCTTTAGTCTCATGGATTGTGCTTTTCTATGTCTTAACTTCTGGACCCATATTTAGTTCTCCCTAAGTGGAAATGAGGGATTTTAGAAGCGAACTCTTCTCATTACACTACTTTCTCATGTGCAGTCTCAGAAAGTCAGACCATTCAGTTCAAACTATGCACATAGAAATTCATTTCCTTGACGAGGATTAAGGAGATGTACGTGGTTGGCATGGTAAAGAAAATGTGGACATGGAACAGGAAAGAACCACGTTTAGAAACTTCGGTAAGATTTGGTAAGGCTGGAAGAGTAACAAGAAAAAGGCATTCTGCAGTCCATGAACTTGATACAAAAGGCACAAGACATGGCTCTTGAGCACCCTAACTATCGACCTTATTATCAGCCATTCCTCCAAAGTTTCAGGGAAGTTTGCTGTTAATCAACAATGCTAAAAGATTTGGTTCCTGGTGAAGTTTATCAGTTTTTCTTATCTCTAGTCTTTTTTTCTCAGACCCTGTTTCCTCCCTTTGTCTGTAGCCACTTTAACTGCAAATGTGACTTACTGGCAGTGAAAATGGGAGAGAAAGAGCCCCAGATTTTCATAATACAGATTTAAAACACGGAAGCTCTGAAATACTTCCCCTTAAATTTTATTTCTGAAGATACTGACTATCAACCTTACTTCCTTTGTTTTAGCATTCAATGAAACGTTGTCTAATTTCACTCTGCCTTCTGCCAAAAATTCTTGATGGACAAGATACTTATTATATCTTTTCCCAGTCCCTGTGAGTGCAATTTATCAGAAGTCACTCCTCTTTTCTCTTTTCTCCAGTGACAAAGACAAAAGACTGCACCACTGCATACCTTGCACAGCCTCCTATTTCAGTGGAAACCAGCATTGAAAGTGTTGCATCTTAGAGCCCAAAGGAGACAAAAGCTTTATGGAAGATAGTTCTTCCTTTATATGCAAAACTCCTGTTGCCATCCATAAATCACTCAGGCTGCTATTATAACCCCAACAAGCTGGCATCACCCCTAAGTACAGAAGATTCTGTGAAAGATTAGCAGAACAAAAACAACAAAGGAGTCATTAAAACACCTAGAAGATAAAATGCTTGAAAATATCTCCCCAAATTTCCTTGCTGCAAGACAGTGATTAAGCCATAAATCAAAGCTATTCTTCTTTAGGGGATGTTTAGGGAGAAGGAAGTACAGTTTGTTACCATGTGCATCTAAAAACGAACTGCAGCTCTTACACTAATGGGGAAAAGCAGATAACTGATCACTGCCCACTGCCTTATTTTTAACAGAATCAACATAAATTAATAGAATGTGGTTTTAATGCTAGGTTTCATTTTATTAACTTTTAGCTTTTCCTATCTTACATTTGCGTTTTGAAAAAAACTAAAACAGTGGAATGTGTTGGATAGATAGATTGTTTCTTTTTCAAAAGTAACTTTCACCAGCAGGTGAATATTCATGTTACAGTTTTTGTACAGCATCACAGAAAACAAATAGTTATTCAAAGTCAATAACTCTGGTCCCTTATGTGATGATACATACGAAACAAGACAGAGAAACAGATTGTCCAGTATTTGCTTTGAAGTCTTCACAAAAAAAGATCTACACCATTCATGGCATTAAAAAATTTTGAAATCTGCTGGTTTTCACTCTATCTTTTTGTCCTGTCATTCCATCAACTTCATCTAAACATGCCTGTGGTCTGCAATAAGTAGTCGGATGAAAATGCTTATAATAAACAACAAGAAAAATAATACCTAACACCAGATGTAAAATAGTTAAGATGATCACAATTGTAAAATGCATTTCCTTGATAATGGAAGGTTTCCAGAACATATATACAAACAAAATACCTAGAGTTACTACAGTGTGAGTAGCATAATAAATAGAAATGCAAACTTTCGTTCTTCTCTCCTTTATGTTAAAAAATGTAAAAATTAGAATTATTCCAACTACAGTTCTGTACAGATATTCCATCTTCTTAGATTTGCAAAATGTTGTACGTTGTTTCAAAGTCCAAGTGAAGCCACAGATCCAAAGAAATATCAGCAGAATTACAGAAATTCTAACACTCAGTAGAGTGATAAGTGAAATACTGAGTACCCAAGAAGTGATGGTAAGCAGTTTATAGAAGAGATACATGAACTTGGAAGGCACACAAAATTCACCTTTGTCAGGCAGAGATTTTTGTAATGACATCTGATAATCAACCATTGAAAGGGAGATACCACAAAAAGACATAAAAATGGCAGCATCTAAACAAAACACAAGGAAAAATGTTAAACCAGAGAAGAAGATACTTATTTTACATTATAATATCTGAATGAAGTTTTGGACAAGTTTATGCTTCTTAACACTTTACCACAATTTTATATTTACTCTGTGCTCCATAACAAGTCGCCCCAATTTTAAGGCTCACTTTAGTTACCTAAATCTAGGCATCTGATACCTGTTTGGTATGCCTGTGTTATCCTGCCCAGCCTATGGTTCTTAAAGGTATTGCCTAAGTGACTTTTTATAGTGAAATCTTCCTTCTCATTGATTTAGCAGACTGGACCATCCAATAGACAGAAAATCTAATTAAATGAAGGTAATTATACTGTGGAATGTGTGTTTTCCAAGGTATGTTTAAAATGTTATCCAATCACATGAATTATATTTTTAAGTAAGATACTCAACTTGCAAATTAAGGAAAAAGACAGACTCACATTGATAGCAATTAGTTTTGCCATGTTGCATGAGGATGTAAATCTGGACAAAAAGTTGTGGCGTGGTCTCAAGAAAAGCCTTGAACACCCTGAGCATGTTAATATCAGTCACTGCATCAATAGCTTGTTTTTTAATGAAGTTGGAAGGGTCTGTTTCTGAAGCATCTCCACTGCTTTTTAGTTTAAATGCAGCTTGGCAGCCATATTTCAAAGCAAACCAATACCTAATAAAAAAAGAAAACTGATTAGACAGCAGTTTTTAGAAGAGCAACCCAATAAAATTATATAGTCTAACAACAACTTTTCCCATTTCATTTTCCACTGATATTTATCTTTGAATGTAATCTAGCATCTTCTACTAAGCTAAAATTTTTTCTGATATCTGTCTGGTATCAGAGATATCAGAAAATCATTTAAGCCCAGCAATACTGTGCAATATAAAAACTAACAGAATCAGACTTGTCTGAATAAAGATTACAAGCTTTGTTTTGTTATGTTCTTATTTCTTTAAAAGTACTGCATTTCTGAAAATTCCCTTAGCATCTCTCCTCAGTCCCTCTTTGGGATCCTCATTCACTTTTTTTGTATCTTTCTAAGAGTACTAGTGAATATTCAGCTCTGAACATCCACATCTATGTAAGTATAGTTTAGAGCCATAAGCTCAAGTATAATCCCTGATGAATTGCAAACATATAACAAACTTTTTTAAAAAAAATCACTACAGTGTTACTTTCTAAATACTCAGGAATATAGCAGTGGATCACAGTCTCCTTCTGCTTACAAAGGGAGCTAGGAAGAATTCCTGACTCCTTCGGGGGTTATAAGATTAACACCTTCAGCATCTTTAAAGACCAAATCCTTTGACCACAGGGGAGACAGCATCAGGGGTTCTTCCCAGCTACAACCAAGACAGCTGGGATTGGCAGGTGCTTGGTTAAGAGCATGCTAGAGGACTCAGAACTTATTCCCTGATATGTTAAAGCATGTTGACCATACAAATGAGAATTGTAACATGGAAGCATTGGTAGGAGTAGGTGTGGAGCAGCTATGCTACTATTAAAGAGCCTTAGAGGAAGAGCCTTTGCTCTTCTCCTTGCAGAGATTCATAGACCACATCCCTGCCATTCAGGCTGATTCCTGATTCCATGAGCTGGCTCTAGATCCATTATTTACTCCCAAAGGAAACTCTTTTCTACTTTTATGGTTTTGTATGTTTTTCTTAGTATTCTCTGAATAATCACTCATAAGTAAAGAACTGAACTGTTTGGCAAGGCATCTATAGCTTTTTCCGTTTATAAAACAATTAGTATTCCAAAACATCTGGTTCTCATCTGAGATGTAAACATCTGGAAAGTTTGCAATGTTTTCAAGAAAAAACAATTGGGTAGACTGATTTGCTAGTTGTCCGTGGACTCACTCACCAGAGCCTGTGTTTGTCCAAGCAGCAAGAAGTGGAAACCAGCTGCAAAAATTTCAAGCTGTGGAGCTCACAGCTGAGAAGGCAGGTGATATGCAGGGCATGTTGTAAAAGGAATATTTTAGCTGGATACACACCTGAAATCACTTGTCAGTTTTTCAAAGTGCACTCCTTCTGAGCATGGTATACTAGGTTTATATTGTTATAAGATGGTATGCTATAGTATACCATGAAGTATACTCCTGACTGTATATAATACATTGTTTTTTTCTAGAAAAGTCAAAATATTTCTATTGCTCTTTAACTATATATTAAGCACAGTGATGTTCTCTGAGCTCCATGTGCTTTTGTCACTGTAGTTCACTGTGAGAAATTTTTCATCATTTAAAAGTATCTTGAGCTTACACTCCCATTGTCATCTGCCCATTTGGCATGCAATAGAAGGACATTTTAGGAAGGGCTCATAGCCAACTTTTAGGCCTACTGTTGGACAACTGCATTCCCAGCCTAAGGCAAAGTTCAGTCCATACTAAAGAGTAAGTCAGGTTCAAATTTTCTCCTTTATCATGCCCATGGCTCACCTAAACCCTGTGCCTGCTCTGACCCTATCATAGTTATATTCCTATAATCTATTTTCCTATAATATATCTATTGCTGTAGAAGCTCTGTTCTTCAATATTCATAAACCGTAAAAAGTCTTTCCAAAAAGGTACTTCAACTGTAATAAAAAGACATTAACTGAAAGTATTGGATTAGTTATGTATTTTAAGTAGATGTCCATCTTAAACTGAAGGTGAAATGGGTATGTCAGTAATACAGACAAATGCAGGTTAATAATTTACTTTTTCTTCCTCTAAATTCATTACAGAGAATATGTTTTGCATTAATTCAAGGTATATTAGCTACTTGGAAGCCAACAGAGTAAAAAACCCATAATTTCGTTATAACTGGAATCATCATATGTGAATGGTAAAGAATTATCAGTGTTTCTAAATATCATATTTGCTTTGACGGGGGAAAAAAAGGTTTCTGCCTTTGCAGTGTTGCTTTGTGGAGAACACAGATGATAGGGCTCCTACTTGTTATAAAAGCTCATGGAAACACAGCTCCACCGTCTCTCTGCTCTTGAGATGCTCCTACATTTTCATCATCATTTCGTAAGGGATGAAATTTACTCCTTATCTCCTGTAAAATTAGGAAGGCTTTGTCTCTGACTGGGAATTCACAGAGGTGACAGCTATTTGGTTTTGTTGCTTCACAGCTTCACAGCCTTCACATGTGACAGGCAAGCTGCCTTGCCAATGTTTCCATATCACATGCTTCCCCTCAGATTTCCAATGAGAACTTTGCAACACATTCCCAGCATTACACTACACATCCCATCTCATCACACTACACTGTTGAAGATTTGGGTGCCATTTAGAAGTTCATACAGGCAGGGTGTGAGCAGCCTGGCAATAGTGACTGTCCTGTCTAAATTCTGGTCACGCTGTCACAGTATTCAATGTCATATAAATTATATAAATCCTTAATCAAAGGAAAAATACTCTCTGTTGCATACTAAACTTCACCTTCTAAGTATCAAAATACTGGGATTAAATCCACGAAACTGATGCAACTAAGTCAGGACTTAGGGCAGTAAATATATATTAAGAAAATGTGATCAAACACAAGAATCATAGAATAGTTTAGATTAGAAAAGACTTTAAGGCCATCGAGTCCAACCATTGCTCTAACACTACCAAGTCCACCACCAAACCATGTCCCTAAGTGCCACATCTACATGTCTTTTAAATACCTCCATGGTTGGTGACATCACCACTTCCCTGGGCAGCCTGCTTCAATGCTTGTCAGACCTTGCAATGAAGAAATTTTTCCTAATATCCAATCTAAGCCTTCCAGGGGCAAGTTGAGGCTGTTTCCTTTCCTCTCATCCTATCATCTGTTACTTGAGAGAAGAGATTCACCCACACCTCACTACAGCCTGCTTTCAGTTGTGGAGAGCAATGAGTTTGACACAGGGTGTAGGGTAACGTAACCTCAGTGACACCTCCAAGCTAGATGAACCATCATACTTGCTATTACTCAGTTCCACTTGCAGAGCCTCACACCTGTTGTGGCAGGACACCTGTGAAGGTAGTCACAGAGGAGACACACCTGGGAAGGAACTTGTTGCCATTGCCCCGTAGCCTTAAGTCACTGTGCTCAGCCAGGTGGAGAGAGGATAGGGAATTGTCCGTATCATGTCCTGTGACTGTTGGGCCTGTCTCAGGGAAGGCCAGGTGTGATTCTATCTGTCTGCCCCTCCCTGATACTCCTCAGCCTACTCACTTCCTCCCAGAGCTCTGCCACTATGCAGAGGAGTTCCTTTGTCTGGATGCACCTCCCACACATGTGCTCACTGCTGCCAGCTGGTACTAAATCAGAGCAGGGCCCACACTGCAGCCCAGCACGAGGTATTAACAGAACATCATCTATCTTGGCTCTGAATTTTTCACATTGTCTTTTAAAAACATATAATTAAATAATCTCAGACTCAGCAAAGCACTCACATTTACTCTCATGCCTCATGGATTTAGAATTAATCTTTACAAATATGCAAAAAAATCTTCCATCTGCTCCTTTTCAGAACATCAGGGCATCCTGATGCTACCTTTAAGCATCAAGAGACACAATAGCACCTGCCTGTATCACAACAGCTTCTGCCTGTATGGCCTTCTATTCTGAAAGCAAAGGTTAGGAATTGCTAAAATTTGGTCTCCAACAGGTGTGTCCTTGACTGATGCTGCAAACTGCTACACATCAGATGGCTCCAGAATTCATATGGTGCCCTAGGGAAATGTCCTGCTTTCCCATATTCCCTGACTGTGTTATTGTTTTGTTATCTGTTATGTCACAGACTGTTCTCAATTTTACCAACATCTGTGTGAACCACTTAAGTTAGTCAGGCTGAAAATCATGGTAGTCAGCATAGTTAATATACACTTTACCAACTTAATTAGGTCTCCTTGCAGAGAATAATATTTCATATAAAATACAATTGCAGGTATACATTCTTTTCACTAAAAGAAACTAAAGCCTTATTAGATATGTAATATTTTTATTTCATTTTTCTTTTTTAATATATATATGTATATACATAAGTGTGTACACATATATGATTTTCATATTTATTACTTAGCATTGGCAGTGTGATAAGATAACCAAACTGATTCCCACTGTGCTGTGCACTGTACAAACATGACAAAGTTACTGTAGCTAAAGGGTACCAGCTTGTAAGTCACCAGTACCTAAAGGGAGCCTAGAAGAAAGCTGGAGAGGGACTCTGTACAAGGGTATGTAGTGATAGAACAAGGGAGAATGGCTTCAAACTCAAAGATAGTAGGTTAGCATGAGATATTAGGAATGAAACTCTTTCCTCTGAGGGTGGTGAGGCACTGGCACAGGTTGCCCAGAGAAGTTGTGGATGCCCCATCCCTTGAAGAGTTCAAGGCCAGGTTGATCTAGTGGAAGGTGTCCCTGCCCATGGCAGGGGGGTTGGAGTGAGATCCCTACCAAATCAAACTGTTCTATGAGTCTAAGTTCCCTGGTTCAAAGATGCAGCAAGTAATGTAAAAGGCATATGAGAAATGGAAGAAGCGAAGAAAGAAGGGAAAAAATGAAGAAAGATACTTTGGTAATCTTCCCAATTCAAGCATCCTAAATTCACTGGCCAAGACATATTTACTGGGGAGGCTCCCATTTTCATCTGTAGTTCAGGTTCCTGTCCCAAATGACCTTCTGGAGAAGTTCATCTTGACAAGTATGACCTGACTCGTGACAGAATCTATTTTTATCCATTGACTGTATCCTTAGACCTGAGAGACTCATTGTCTAAATTAACTGCATAAATCAGATGACTAAGAGGTAGGACATGAGAGAGTTGTACCTTGATATTCCAAAGAAAACACATACAACAGGAAGTAGCTGGTCACAGAGGTACAAGCACAAATGCCAGCTTGCTGTTATCAGTTTATACTTTACAGTATGCATTTTCAACCTGCTGAATTGTGAGGAGTGGCTGAAAGAACTTTGCAGTTTATACATATCATCTTGGAAGTTTTCCAGGTGTAAGTGGCAGCATAGGAGAAAATATCATTTGTGCAACAAAGAACAGGAGATCAAGTAGAAAACACTGTCAGTGCAAAGGGCAAAATAATGTTTGCTACGTAATAAGCCACTCAGAGAAGATGGGGCTAATTCTGGGAAAGAAGATTCAAAAGATACAGAAATTCATGGTAAGAGGTATTCATTCAGGAAAGGGTATGAGTTCAGGTAAGTCCAAGAGTTTTGTGGATTACCTTAGAGTTAAGGTAATTACCTTAGAGCTAAGCAAAGATTCCTATCACAATTAACTCAGTCCCTGCAGAAGTACTGCTGCAAGTGTTCTTATATGCAGCTATTCATTTCTCTATTGAATTTTGGTTGTTTTTCTACATATGGTTAGATTCTCAGGTTGAAAAATTACCTCTTACTTCAGCTGTTTAGTGTGCATAACATCACTTTGAAAACTTATATTTATCAGCTACAACAGTACTACACTATAAAGCAAGCAGTTTTATTACATATGCCATATCAAAAGGCTGATTAATCAAACAGAATTGGGTTGTGAATGATAAAAATTATTACTTACAAGTAAATAAAAGAAGATCTGAAGGTACATCAAAACCCGATAAAATTTACCCTGGCAAAAGCAGACAAAAATCTCCTTCCTTTCATAGTAATTGTTAAGGCCAGAACTGGTCTTGTCCCTGAAGTCATATTAAGCATTTCTTAATAACTGTCTTAAAGGAACATGATTTCTCATTTTAAGATAAATTTAGAGGTTTACGTACCTTATAAAAATTCCACAGTGAAAGAGATGAACTAGAAAAATCCATTTCAACTTCCCAGTATCAGTACCTTCCCAGTCGTTTTTAAACCATTCATAACTAAATATCTGAGTTACTAATGATGAAATACCTCTAAAACACAGTATCAATATACTCCAAGAATATTGTCCTTGACAGAAATATTTACTAGCTACCCAAAAGTCCACTCCAATATCAACTACATAAATTATAATTCCGCCAACTAAAGCAAAAAAATTCTGCTTAGTAAATTTCATCATGTGTTAGACTGCCACTTATCATTCTCTCCTCACTTCATGTAAAGGAATCTAAATGCTTTACTACAATAGAGTCTTTTTACTGATGATACCTCCTGCTCATAGGGCTCTATACAAAGAAAAGTTGGGTTATGCATTTTTATTATGGCAAAGGGACTTGCATTTTTCTATGTTCTTGATCTAAATATTAAATTAACTTCCTTGATACATATCTATTCTGGAAAAGATAAATGTAAATTGTCTTTTTAATTGGTGGAGTCATTCTTCATTAGTGGTTCCTAAAAACAAGAAGAAAAAAGAAGATTAGCAGTAGCAATATCTCCCTCATTTAAAGTATCATACAGCAAATTCTTTAAATTCTCACAACCATTTAAATAGGCAAGCACAAAATACAGAATGTAATGAGATATCAGTGAACAATCAAGCCAAGAGACGTGCATTTCTGAACCTGCTGAGGTCACTCTCCCAACCAGTGATTCTCCACTCAGGCAGCTGTTGAGGTAATTCCTAACGGTTGCAAAACACTGAGAAACAAGCAAGTTTTTAAAAGTAGTTTATGGGGAAAAGATTGATACCTTTCCAGGAGTTTCTTAACTTCTGAGCTCTTCTCCTTTACTGTACACAGCACAAAACATTGAGAAAACTTCTGTCTTGAGTGCACACAACTGCATCAGAGTACACATCATTCTGCAATTTCCAACTGCGTTACTGCATTTGTGTGCATACATCTAGTGGTTTTATCATTCCTGCTCTGTTTTCCACATGCAGCAAGAAAGTGCTGAATAGGATTGCAGCTCTTCTGTTAAAGAGGCTTGTAATGACCTGACCTGCACCAGTCTACACCTCTTTGAGAATTGTCTCCCAAGCTGTGTGAGAAGTAGCTACATGCAAATGATTTAACTACATAGTCCACTACAAATAGAATTAATTTGCAGTTTGAACTACATTTACGCTGCCCAACACTGCAAGGATTCTTTTGACTTCTTTGGGTAGTCCTTACATGTTTTTCCTCTGTAGATCTTTGGTATTTGCCAGGTGAAACAGAAAAGCTATATGGCAGTACATTCTTGGTCTCATTCATGTCCAACTGTGCAAAGCTAAAAATTAAAATGACAAAATCCCTTATCTCATTTACTTGTCTTAGGAAAAAGGTGCTGGCAGCAAACACAAAGGATGGGATGCAGAACATGGCAACCCCACTGGGTTTGGGGTGGTGCCAGTGCCAAACAGCAGCAGACAATACATGGGGAACAGCTGGGCCAGGGATCTTAGAGCAGGGGAAGGGCACGTGTAGGCAGGTCCCTTTGGATTTTTGTGAATTCAGGCACACTGCCACAGAGGAATGAAATGAGAGAATTGGTTAATAACTCATGAACAAAGGTAATGACTATTCTTTGCTTGTGTTGACTGGGCTCGTCTATGCTGTGACCCAGGTATAAACCCAAAAAAGAGAATTTAAGCTCCTAATTTCCTAATAAAGACAAGTGGGAACATAACAGCCTGAAAAGGTGATGAGTGTCTAAACACTATTTTTTTGGATCTAGGCCTTAGCTTTTTCTAGCCTCTCATTCTATCTCCTACTTAGGTTTCATGTCCTGGTCCAGGCAATCTTTCAGCTGGGATAGTTGGAATCCTTACACTGTTCTTTCCTATCCCCTACAATAAAATACCACTAATGTCTTTCAAATCACTAACGCAATTTATATCCAATTCACATTTAGATTGTGGGAAGTGGACTTCACTACAAAGTCCAACATAAACTAAACTTTGCGTTTACAAACACAAATAGACAAGTTAACCATGAGCCAGCAGTGTGTCTGTGTGGCCAAGGTGGCCAGTGGCATCCTGGGGTGCACTACAAAGAGTGTGGCCAGCAGGTTGAGGCAGGTTATTCTACCCTTCTACTCTGCCTTGGTGAGGCTGCATCTGCAGTACTGTGTCCAGTTCTGAGCTCCCCAGTTCAATAATGACAAGGAACTACTGGAGAGGGTCCAGCAGAGGGTTATGAAGATGATTAGGGGCCTCTAGCAACTCTTCCAGGAGGAACAACTGAGAGAGTTGGGCTTGTTCAGGCTGGAGAAGAGACAACTGAGAGGGGATCTTATTAATGCATACAAATATCTTAATGCCAGGTGTCAAGAGGATGGAGCCAGACTCTTTTCAGTGGTGCCCAGCAACAGGACAAGGATCAACAAGCACAAACTGAAACACTGGAAATTCCATTCAAATATAAGCTAAGACTTCAAGGTGAAAAACCACTAAAACAGACTGTTCAGAGAGGTTGTGGAGTGTCCTTCTATGGAGATATTCAAAACCCGTCTAGATGCAATTCTGTGCAACCTGCTCCAGGTGAACCTACTTTAACAGGGAGGTTGGACTAGATGATCTCCAGAAGTCTCATCCAACCCCAGCTGTTCTGTGATTCTTTGAAATGTTTTATATTTGAAAACTTGTGTAGGAACCAACAAGAATTTATTGCTACTGTTCATTCATGAAAATTCCAAAGGAAACTGTATTTACTCTATATAACATCATATCATTCTGCAAGTTGACATACCACCTTTGTCAAGCTGTACCCTTTTTTGTAACAAGAACATTATGCATTGCTTTTAGAACTGATTAAAACCAAAACCAAATATAGAAACAAACCGAAGAAAACAAAAAAACCCTGGTCAGGTCCATTATCTGAGTGCTGCAGGAAGCACAACAGCAAAAGGTTAGTTAGTCAATAACTAGATTCAAACAGAAAGTTCTTTGGAAGGCAACTTATGGCCAAAATAGGCAGTATATCAAGGTTCACATTTAATGAGTAATACTGTACTAGACATTCCAGTGGCAAGGATTGGCCTCTAATTTTGCACCTGAAATAAATAAAAAAGGTAACTGGATTCATCTCTCTTTACAGCCTCCCCATCCTTTTGTATCTGAGCACTTCACAAAGAGGAATATAAGAAAGAAAGTTTTATAGGCTATGTCCAGACTCCTCTGAAACAACAGCAAGAAGAGTAGCTGTGAGCCAGGTGATTTCTACCTCTGACAAGTCTACTGTACAAACTGCTGCCATGCCAGCAGTCTGCAGACCTGTCTGGACATCTTGGTGGCAATATGAAGCCATCAGGTAAGCTAAGACAAATGAAGAGCCACACCAAGCGTGGCAGCTTGCTTACTGTCTCATAATTATCTTGAATAAGGAATCTAGTCTTGAAACAGCCTTGGAATGGCTGGTAAGACACAGGATTTACATTTTGCTCACAGTTACCTAAAAAATTGCTACCAGAGACTCACAAATCTGTACTGACAATGTGAGTTCCAAGTGCAAGCACCAATGCCTGCTCACAGGTGCACCTGCTCTCGGATGAAATCACTGTTGAAGATCTCAGCCTTTAATATCCCCTACATTTTATGCAGGATAGCACTTCAAAGAGCATCGTGGTCTCATGTACAAGGAGGGGTTCAATTAAGTGCCACAGGAGAGAGGGTCTTGTATCACTCAGAAATATATTGTCCCCGGTCTTATTAAACATATGAGATCGAACATGACAGGAGCAAGAAGAGTAAAGTGACTGTCAGTCAGCTTGAATATAACTGCTCTAAAAACTAAAATAATTTAAGAGCATCATTTTGTAATAAAGCAGAAACAATAAAATGTGATTAGAAAAATCCTTCCTTTTTCACTATACATTTAAAATCATATTAAAAAATGCAGGGTTACCTGAATACTGGCCATGGATAGAGGTTTTTTCAGTTCAAAAATTGTAGATTTGCATATTTGCAGGTTTCCCATCCATACCTTTACAAGACTTGCAATCCAAAGAAAGTTAAAGGGCTTACTGATATAACACAAAGTGAAACTAAATTCATATGGAAACCATGTGACACAGTTAATGATTTGCTACCTGTAAAGAACTGTCATTCTTAAGAATATATTCTAAAAATTCTATTTTAAAAACTTTAGAAGTCCCTGTCTATAGTTAATATTAAGCTTAACAGATTATAAAATTCCTTCAATAAATTAAGTTTACTCTATAAAAATTAAAAAAAAAAAGAACCACATTTTTTTGCTATAGTTGAAAATTGTAGTACAATGCATTCTAAAAAAATGTACAAAAAGCTTTTCTGTGCAATGATACATGAAGTGTCCGCACATCTCCAAGGACAAATGATTAAAATTGTTTTCCTCTGGTGAAACTACAGGTGTTTGCACAAGTCTGCTCCAGCTGAGCTCTTGGCACTCAACATGAAATTTTTATTCATGTTTAAAATAGCTGCAGGGTACAAGGTGCAAGTGTTGTGATTCTGCCTCGATGACTGTGCTGCACAGGATGATGCACACCCTCAGCCAGAGCAGTCTATAGCTTTTATAGCTCTAGACTAGGAGGATAGGAGGTACAATCCTATCTTCATAGCAAACATAATATCAATGCTTGCTTTTTCTTGTGCAACTTCCTGCTTCCCCTTATAGGTCAGAAACATGCTACTCCTAAGCAGTCCTTGCAGTGCTTGAAATACCATTATTTCCATGTCATCACCTGAAGAACAGAATCAACGGATCAAGTGAATTTTCCAAAGCTAAAAAACCCAGTGCCTGAAGCCAAAACAGTACTGCATTATTCCTGGTTCAATTGCACATGGTTCATTCCAGTGAGACAACACACTGGGAAAACACCTTAGGACATCAGTGGGGCCATAATGGCCTTCTGAATAAATGCAGCAGAGGCCTTTCTGCCTGTGCAGAAGCATCTTGGGGATGATTCAAAGATAACAGGCCTACTGTGTGCATGCCCAACAAGCTCTTTGTAATGGCTGTGAGCAACATGAATTCACTAATTAAAAATGTAGTTTTATATTGCTCCACAATAAAATCCCAGGGATGTCAGAGAAGCAGCTCAGCAATTACAATGACACCTGTTCTGTCCCATAAGTGGCCAAATGAATACAAGCATTCTGTCAGAATATAGCTTTTGGAGACGATATTTCTTTTAAACTCATATTAGGCTACTGCGTTCTTTTGCAGCAAATTGAACCAACATAAACCTCTATAATATTTGCAGAGAAAAACAAAATAGTTTCATTATGCCAATCCTGCCTTGCTTACTCCTGACTTGATTGTTCCACTTGCAGAAGATCCATCGGAATGGACTTGGCCACTGATTCTTCACAACATTCACTTCACTGGAACCTCGATGGATGAGACTGCAAGAGTAGCTGCAGACAGATGGACAGTGGCAAACTGACTGGACTAGACTATTTACAATTAGCAGCTTTTACCAAGACTGTCCCTCTCTTTGGATCTGGACCAAATTTGAAAAGCACCTGCTCTCCAGTACAACATAGGTTTCTTTTAAACCCTATAAAATCTCTACTGATCTTAGTCAATTATTAATATAATTCCTTTCTGTATGAAAGATGTTAGTCATCTGAGATATGCTCTCCTTGAATTATAAAAATATACATAATTTAGCAGCAGAGCAATAAATACATTATATACTGCATTTGGTATATAGTTTTAAATTCTTTTAGCTCCACCACAGCTTTTTAAAATTTGTAATAGGCTTTCCAAGCTATTTGCCCAAATAAAAACTAAGCTACAGATTTAAATCAGCCACATCACAAATTCATTGTTGTGACCTTTGTTATAATTTAAAAACGACAAAAACTCTGTAGCACAGAGAGAGGGGCAAGGTTTGTGTATCTGATTCATGGAGTGTAAGTCAAGCAGCTCACAAGCTAAATTACAGGCTGGATAATTAATTTGTCTTCTGGTTAGACTTGGCATCAAAGCAAGCACATTTCTAAATTGTGACAGATCTCCTCTGGTATTCAGTACACATCCTTTTATTTGGTTCCAAAGGGGGTAGGAAGGACCTTTTCTCCCTGCTTTGATTAGTGTTAACAGGACCCTGAACATTTTATCTTTGAATTATTTCAGACATTGGAAACCAAGGTCCTCACTGGGATAAGCATAGAAATACCCAGGATGAAATGCTGACCTAAAAAATTTCTGAAGATTTATTGTGTGTCTTTACTTTTGATACTTTCTTTGCAGTCAAGGAATGTTTTTGCCATTGGTATTAAGGGACGTTACCCGAGAAAATGCATGGCTTGAAAGAATATAGTGGTTGATGACTTCATCTCAGTGTAATAGATCCCCTTGCTTCTTCATGAATTATTCCTGCATAGTTGTACAAGCTGCCAGCAGTTTTCTATCATCATAGCTTCTTGGTACCCTGCTACAGCAGAACTCCTGGTCACCTGCCCAGGGAACGCAAAAGTATTTATGTTCTGAGCAGCATTAACATACAGGTTTTTAGGAGAATCTTACAAAGTCACAGAACAGCTGAGGTGGGAATGGACTGATGGAGGTCACCTGGTCCAACCCCCCTGCTCAAGCAGTGCCACCTACAACAGGCTGCCCGGGACTGTGTCCCGATGGTTTGTTAATACCTCCAAGGAGGGACACTGTACAACCGCCCTGAGTAACCCGTGTAGCACTTGGTCACCCTCACACTGAAGAAGTGTTTCCTGATGTTCAGAAGGAACCTTCTGTGAGCAGTTTATGCCCATTGGCTTTGGTCCTGGCACTGGGCACCACTGAAAACAGCCTGACTCCATTCTCTTTGCTTTTACCCTTCAGGTATTTATAGGCATTGATGAGAACCCCTGAGCCTTCTCTTCTCCAGGCTGGACAGTCACAGCTCTCTCAGCCTTTCCTCTTACAGAGATGTCCCAGTCCCTTCAACATTGCCTCTAATCATCTCCCATAAATCTGCTGATCTGACTTCTTATATTTTCTACACAATGTTGCCTCTTAATGTAGGAATCTTGTAGCCCGTGGCCTTCCTCTCTGCAAAATCTTCTTCACTTCTGTTTGGTTTAAGGTCTCTTTACTTATCTCTGTACCAGATAAAAAGCATAAAGGAAGAAATATTCTACAAGTACCAAGAAATCTTACTTTTATAAATAGCATCTATAATTGCATTAAAATAACTTCAAAATCTACCAACTAAAAATCCTCTCAACAAAACTTACATGTACCAATGTCTATGCAGATAAGTCTGTCAAGACATTTTCTATCTACTATTCAGTTGATTCTGTCTAACTACTACAGAATTACATGCTTGTGCTTAGTTCTATTAGGCTATTACACAGCCACAGTGGAGAGGCATTTATCCTCAACATTTACAGTTAAAATGTGGAAGAAAGCCAAGTGCCAGTACTCAAAGATTTCTTGAGTGCTAAAAATTCAAAGAGTGACACGGTGGGATTTTCAGAAATACCAATCTGTGTCTCACAGTTGTTACAAAATAATCTTCCATGATACATCACATTGTATATTACCAGCAATCTCTTTCTAGGTTTATTGAAACTCAGCTTTTTTTTTCTTTTTTTTTACTGGTAGCCTAACACTATCTACTGCAGAACATTTTTCGCCTCAAAATTTTGTCTTAACAATGTAAAACAGAAGAGAGCGCTATAAGAACCTCAGGATATACACTCATATTTTCTTGTACCACATTAGAGCATAACAGCAAGACTTTCACTACATGCCTATTAACTTCTGTATTTGAAGAGAAACAACAGACTTTTTAAAAAGATGGGCTTGTACAGGAAATGAAGATAATAGAACTTGCACTTCGTTTTCCAAAGGCACCATTGCTGCCACCTACAGATGAAACAGATTCATAGCTCCTGCTAAATAACTGGCACCTTACTATTTCTGAGTAATCAACAGGTAAAATTCAGATAAATAATTTCAGAAACCTTTTCTAAACTCAGAATTGTCTTAAAAGTAGAAAACCACTTAAATATGCAATTTGCCTTGGGTTAGGTAGTAACTTCTTCTAATGACGCAGCAACTAAAGACTGAAAATGGGTTGAATGTACCAACAAATAGCTACAAATTAAGTACAATAGGGCACCTCAGGATTAGGTAAATTCAGGTCTAGTCACAGTTGTTTATAAAACAATATAGAGGCAAATGATATGGGATGAGATTGGAATATTTTGTATAGGGTTTTCTAGCTTACTTCAGCAGCACACCTGCACACAAAAAGGCTTCTTTCCTTTGACCTGAAACATCCTTTCTGTTGTCTGTAGTTAATGCTTTAGTGATCTTGAGAATAAAAAATAAATGCAATGGGTTTATACCTCAAATAAGTAAATAGATATTCTAAATCTCAAATAAGTAAACATTTATTATATAAATCAAAGAAATTATCTAGAAGGCCTAAATATAGGGATTATCAGCATCAGTGGCACATTTTCTGTCTGTGGCTTTTGTGATGCCAACCAATTAACAGCTGCAATTGAAGTCCATGTCCAGGAGTAAATTTTTTTAATTACTGCATGATATAGGCCTGCATAAGGTACTGCCTGGCAAGTCACTTGTGCATCATGAGGCAAGGTATTTGGCTGCATGGGTGACTGCAAGGTAATGCAGCTGATGGGTTAGCAAGCACTTTAAATGTAGCTAAACGAGCACTGAAGACACAGCCTAGAAGCAAGCTTGCTGTTGGTCCCTGGACAGCGAAGGTGCATCACTGCTGTCTGGCCGAGCAGCATTTGTTCTCTGACCTTTGAGGCCACCTGAAAATCTGAATTGTGAGCTGATACCAGCAAGTGCAGCATGGTTAGGCAGGCAGCAGGACCTACCTCAGAGCTGCCTCCCTGCCTTGTGCCATCCCCTGCCTTGCGCCATCCCCTGCCTCGCACTGCCCAGGAAGCCAGAGGCATCAGGTGGATCTGTGCCAAACCAAGAACCAGTTCCCAACACGGGAAGGAGGAAAAAGACACAGTGTTAGAGTGGGGAACACCAGTTTGTCATGCATGGCAAGATGCAGACATTTGTTAGTATCTGAAGCTTTTAATAGCACATCTCCTGGCATGTATTGCATGTATTACCTGCCCACAACAGCACTTAAGTCCATTTAAAAAAAAAATTAAACTTTGAATTTTCATGAAGTTACGAAGTTCTGTTGAAGCCACAAAGTTTTGGTTTTCAGTTCTATGCTGTGCACTGAGTTGTTTGTTTCTAATAAGTCTTTCGGAACTTTGCCTATCAAGATTATGTTTGGTGATTTCTGTCCCTTCAGAAGAAAGTGAGAATCTGTTCTGTTTGCCCATGCAAATCCTAGAAATGGCCCTAGATCACACCTAAGAGTTGCACCTCTATTTTCACATAATTAAAAGAACATTTAAGAAAAAAATATGCTACCACCAAACACTTTTTGTTCTTTGTATTGCTACAATCATCTTAGAAATTTACATTTATTTGTTATAGGTAACATATGGGATCTAATATAGATATAAAACAATCAGATAATATTTGAAATTCTAATCTTGGTAACGTTCCCGTAATAATATTACCTGCTTTTATTTCAGGTTAAATTATGTTTATTCTTCATTTACAGGTGGTTTAAGGAGAGAAAAAGCCTGCCCTAATTTCTTTAGCAATGTCAATTGAAAGGCAAATAATTGGGGGTTTCAGAAGGGACACTGCAAAGCCAAACAGGTGAATTTCAGCACCTTGCAGACTCTAGAATGAATGCTGTTTGCAAACACAATATTACTACCTGACAGTGACAAAATTCCACAAAATCACAGAATGGCTGAGGTGAGATCACTGGAGGTCATCTGGTCCAAGCCCCTGCTCCAGCAGAGCCACCTAGAGCCAGTTGCCCTGGACCATGTCCAGATGACTTTTGAGTATCTCCCAGAATGGAGACTCCACAACCTCCTTGGGCAACCTGTGCCAGCTCCTGGTCACACTCACAGTAAAAAAGCGTTTCCTGATGTTCAGAAGGAACATCCTGTGTTTTGGGTTGTGCCACGTTGCCTCTGGTTCTGGCATTGGGCACCATGACAGGACAGGCAGCAATGGCCCTGTGACAGAGCCTAG